CCCACTTTAAAGAGATTACAAAAACATTAACTCAGAGTTTAACATTATGACAAAATATCGTATCATAAACTGTGTATTTTGTCACGTTTTAGTTTAACCACTAGTGCTAACAATCTTAACTTAAGATGTTTTAAATTAATATCAATAGAATCGATGGTTAGTGCTAACGTTAGGCCTACAGTGGACATCATGCCATGTGGTTTTGTAACTTGTAATCTGTAAAATGACCAATCTCAAAACAGAATATTCGCCAAAATGGTAAAAGAAGAACAAGGGAACGTGGTAAAGTTTTCAATCTACAACAAAACACAAACCAGATCGGAAGTTTCATCTGAAATTCTAGGCATAGAGTGTACATTATGACACGTGTTTTACTGTTGGTTTTGTAACTCGTAATCTGTAAAATTGTATTAGGCCTAACTAAAAGATTGATTTAACCAAGATATAGATTATAATTTCTTAAGATACAGTAAAACTCTTCAAATAACTGAATGAAGCACACACACACTCCTACTTCAAGCTTATCTTTCTTCTAGCTTAGTGTTTTCCAATCTTTAAATATCGGCGCTCCCTAACTGAGTCAAGTTTCCGTTGAGCCCCCGTTGTCAAAATGTAGTTCTAATTCATTTCGTTTCATTGCGACTTTATATTGGCAGTGGTTATCACGTGACTTGCTGATTTACATATAACATGTCGTATTTGACCGTCTGTATAATAACAATAAAATGTATGATAGCACTTACTTGAGGCATGTATTTCTAAGAACCCGTGACAGAAAAAGCAAAAAAAAAAAAAAAATACGTTTAATATGTCAACCACACCACACCTACCATATGCAGTGTCAACTACGCCTTTCGCAAAATGCCAGAGCTCATCAGGCCGGCTGGGATATGACAAAAATAATAGTGTTTCAGGTGCTATTTTCACGAACAATAACTGTTACGATGTGAATCATATTAAGTAAGTGAATTGTAATTATTATCAATTTTATTTAAGACATTTACAAGTCAGATTTTTAAGTTAAGAATAATAAATTTAACCACATCAAAACCTTACCCACTATACTGTTTCAATATAAGCTAGAAATAATGTGGGACATTAGATGGTTAACCATACTAACTTGTACATAAAAATTAATAGACACATCGCATGAAACAATTGTTCAGCTTACTGCAGTTGGACTCATCCTCTCCACCAGTGCAGTCCCGGATGTGATTGCATTTGATACCTTCTGGTAGACATCTTCCATCGGAACACATGAAATGGTTGTTAAGTTTGACGCAGTCTTTTGTTGAATAGTCTACGTACAAACATATGACCAAACAACATTTAATTATTGACAAATGTGCAATGTTAATAACAAATGTATATAATACTGGATTATTCTGGAATAGCTGACGGAGCTTTACACAAAATTATTCAACTTAAAAAAGAATTAATATATTCAACATTTATCTGCAACTAAAAATAATAACGAAACTTCAAAAACACGCGATAATTGCCTATTAGAAAAGCCTGGCCTCTCGAAACTAACACGAGAAAAGTCCATCATATTCAGAAAAACAATCGGGCTTGGTCATGTAGCTGTAAACACCGCTAGAGGTGCTGAATAAATGCATTTTAATCTTTATACGACGATAGTGAACTTAACATGATCATAAATTCATCAAAATTTGTTATAAGACAGATTATACGTTTCCAATAAAGTCGACATTTATTTAAAACTTTTATTTGTTAGTATAAAACACTAACCGCAGCATCAGATAAAATATAAAATGTAAACAAATATTAAAACACTTCTGTGTCCTCGAATGTATCGCAGCAAAAAAAAGTTCAAAGGCAGAACAAACATTGGCAGGAAGAACTTTTCAAGTGCTGTAACTGAGCAAATATTGATTCTATATTCAAACTATTCGTTAGCGTTTCAAAGGAACATCGGCACGCTTATGAAAAAATGAAGTAAAATAAGTTTGGAACCAGAATAGGGAATTTTATATAAATATATTTAAATTCAAAAGTTCGTATCCCACCATCTATCACGTTTTACATCCTTATGTTCCAAGCACCGAAATTTCACTGAATCTGTTATCCAATTTACATTGCGAAATTGTAAAAGGTAATACATTGCTATACAGGATACGATATCAAATATTCTTCATTCGAATAGCTGGATTTGGCAGATCAGATCTTACTGAAAGAGATTTTGGCAGAGCTCTGGAGGTCTAAATAGAAATATCTGATCGATTAGATTAAGTTAACTGTTGGGCTCGGCATGGCCAGGTGGTTAGGGCGCTCGACTCGCAATCTGCGGGCCGCGGGGTTCGAATCCCGTCACACCAAACATGCTCGCCCTTTCAGTCGTTGGGGCGTTATAATGTGACGGTCAATCCCACTATTCGTTGGTAAAAGAGTAGCCTAAGAGTTGGCGGTGGGTGGTGATGACTAGCTGCCTTCCCTCTAGTCTTACACTGCTAAATTATGGACGGCTAGTGCAGATAGCCCTCGTGTAGCTTTGCGCGAAATTCAAAAACAAACAAACAAACTATTGTATCCCACATGATGATGACGCCACATTAACCTGGTGAAATGTTGTGACGAAAGTTTTATTCTATACATCTGATAAAACTTATCTGAAATTTTAAAAATACAGTTCTCTCTAAAATGTAATTACCGTATTTTTCGGTGTATAAGACGCACTTTTTTATCCCAAAATTTGATGTCAAAATCTGCTTGC